GAACGTGTGCCCATATTAGCCAACTTTGAGGAGTGGATGAAAATGGCAACGGATAATAAGATCAATGCGGCCAACTCATGGAATTTTGCTCTCATTGACTATTTCCATGACATGTCACTGCTGAAGGAAGGTGACGGTGTGAATTTCCAAAAAGCAAGCTGCACATTAGACGGCTGTGTTAAGATTTACACGAGCAGAGTAGACAGTGTTGCAACAGAGACAGGGAAGCTTCTCAGTGGATTGGCGGATAGCGGGAACAAAAAGAAACAGGGCGAGAGGGAAGATGGAGCTGAGAATGAGGATGATGACGATGAGGAAGAAGGCGAAGAAGGCGAAGATGGGACCAGGAGGAAGACCCGGAAAAAGGTAAACTACTTCCTGTATTTGAAGTTGGTATACCGATTACTTACTCTTTTACATCTAGGCCCGATCTCATGAATCCACACTTGCACCATCCTTTGCCTCTCTACAACTGAAGAAGTTTGAACTGGAATTCTCCGTGGACCCCCTATTTAAAAAGGCTTCTGCGGACTTTGATGAAGGTGGTGCCAAGGGTCTCCTTTTGAACCATCTGTCGATTGACGGCCAGGGAAGAATAGTCTTCGACAGTAGCGACGATGCCAATGCCACTGCTGATTCAGAAGCCCAGAATAAAGGCAATGAAGACTCCCAGGCTGATGGACAGGAGGATGGTCCATCCCCAGGCCTGGAACCTCTGACTCCAATGATGACTACTGACGTTGATGTCGTGGTCTAGCCGAGAGATTCTTCCCAAACCTTGACGTATTATCCGACCACGATATCTGCCCCTCGCTGAAGGATTTCGATTTAGGTGACCCAAGCGGGTCTCTTGAAATACCATTCTTACGCGCTCCTGAGGACTGGAGACAGGATAAACAGCAGTCAGAACAGCCAGGTCTTGGTGACGCTTCCGGTATTGTATTGGACGATGACATCGCCATTGGATTTGATGATGACGATGATGCCACAATTACCGGATTCGATCTTGGAGGCGAGGCCGAATTCGGACAAGGTGGTGAGGCATGGGCGCGAGATGCTGCTTTAGAACCAATGCTGAAGGTGCATCGTATCAGCAATATAGGAGTTGGTGGTGATAATAACGATACAACGGTTGACTTTGACAACACTGAAACTGACCCCTTTGCCCTATCCCTTTCACATGGAAATGGAATGCACGACCACGACAATATCCTGAGTTATTTTGATAACGCCCTACGCAAAGACTGGGCTGGTCCTGAGCACTGGAAGATTCGACGAATGAAAGATGTCACCTCTGCTGCAGGAGCTGCTGCCCCCAGACAGCGCAAAGAAAAGGAACCTTTTGAAATAAATTTTGCTGCCGACCTCGAACCTGCCGTTGCAGAATTGATATATGCCACTTCAAGCTCTAACTCCGCTATTTCGCTACCAAAATCACAGTGGAAAACCAAGGGACGAAATTTGTTGCCGGATGATAAACACTTCAACTCCAAGGAGCTTCTTCGCCTTTTCTTAAAGCCCAAAGCTAAGATGGGCTTGCGTGGGTTGAAGAGTAGCAATCGTACCCGGCAACACGATGCATCTGGCCCTAACAACGGTGAAATGGACGAAGCATTTTGGGCATCACAGAAACAAAACATGGACCAGGCAGCGAATGATGAGAATGCTGCTCAAGGAACATACGATGCTAACTTCTTTGCTGATGATGACGGCCTTGCCTTTCCACACGGTTTGCCAATGGGTGATGATGACGATGAAGATAACATACCCTTTGCAGATGCTCGGGAAGCATTCTCTCCTCCGTTGGACTCAGATGCACAACCTTCAACAGCGGCTGGTGGTATGACTGGTCTTAATGCGTTATTGAACAGCGTTGCTACTCCTGGAGGTGCTCTGCTAGGAGGATATGGCTCCCAGCTCGTCACACAAGGTGGCCGAAGAGTCCGTCCAGAATACGTCAATTATGCTCGTGTAGCGAAGAAGGTAGATGTACGCCGTCTGAAAGAAGTGATGTGGACTGGAATGGGTGAGCGTCTAGTCGCTTCAATGTCTTTCAACTCAGCATCTCCATCTGCAGCAGTCACATCAACAACTGCTGCTGCCAATCCAACGGTAGAACCAACGGCAGAGGACACTACGCCAAACGATGAATCAGAAGATCTCAAGAACAGTCTTCGTTTCACCGATGTCATGAACGGCCTCAAGCAATCATACCCTGAACAAGCAATGCGGGATATCAGCACCTCATATGGTTTCATTTGTCTTCTTCATTTAGCTAACGAGCAGGGTCTTGTGCTGAAGAATAAAGGCAGTATGAATGATGATTGGGAGGGTAGGCTTGAAGAGATATACGTGACGAAGGACGTTGGTGCTGTTATAGAAGGCGATGCATAGTATGAGCAGAATGAGTGTATGAAATCCGGATTACTCCTTGCATATGTTTTCGGCCTACATCGATGATTGTGTCTTCCTTGATATTAGGAGTTTTGTTGCTATCCAGGGGCATCATACAATATTCTATACTTTACTTGGTGTAATATGCAAATTAGCAGAGCGGTATTTTGGTTACTAGCATCCAATCACAGCGTACGGTGTGAATCTCGACCCGTGGTATCCTTCTTAAGACCAAGAAGCCTGGTTTAGTTTTGAAAAAGGGCGTATAAAAGAAATTTGTGGACAAGATTTTTTCGATATATCTGGATAGCTAAATAAATCTAACCACAAACCACAAGGACTTGGCTGATACTCAATATCAAATCCAGTCTCAAAGCAGACGGTTAACAAAGGTCTTCGTAGAGTGTATATATAGGGCGTCATATATAGTCACACTTTGCCCTGCACCCCTTCCCATGTCCCGTTATAGGACATGTTGTGCCCAAAACATAACGATAAAATTATTCGACACCATGATATCAGAAATAAGAGAAATAAGACAGTAAATAGATAGCACAGCCCTCATTTTCGTGGAAGGGCCAAGGGGTATTTCAAGTGAAGGAAAATGTAGGTAGTTTGCAGATGTGATGGCAAAAGCAGCCTTAGCAGAGCGTAAAGAGAGGATTAAGGGCTAGGAGTCGTGTATAAACAGAGCAAAGAATATTGGAAAGTATAACATATGAGAGATACAAAAACATATGGTTTTCAGGCTACTGCCTGTGATATATAGTTAGGTCACCTTGATGGGTTGCGAGTGTGAGGTGCATTGTCTGATGTAACCGCTACGCCAATACCAGGAGTATTGGGCAGAGTCATCCCCTGAGGGGCAAAGCTGGGGCTTCTGTATGCCTCGGGAATTGGCACGGCGGCATATGACTGTTCTCCAGGAGTGGCAGTAGCGTGGTAGTTTACTTGCTCCGCCGTGCCAGGCTGGAAAGAAGGGTTTTGTGTCTCAGACTGAGGAGTATTGTGGATGCTGTTGGATGATCTAGAAGGAGGAGGCTGTAGTTGGAACGGCTTGTTGGCGGTGGTGACTGGTGTAGCATATTGTGGTTGGTAGTATTCATGGACTTGTCCGTTCTCAGCGGCTGAATACGGGTTTTGTTTCATTGCTGGGCTTCGTGCAAATCCGGGGGTGTTAGGGGCCGATTGCACACGGAGATTGGCAAGGTAGAGATCGGATCTGGCCTTGTCGCGGACGTTCATTGATTTGCGTAGCTTGCGTTTGGAGTAGAAGCGATAGAAGACCACGGCATAGATGGCAATTGTGATGGTATCAACGACGATCTCAATAATAATGCAAACAAGCGTCCAGTCCTATACCAATGTTAATATATCAATTCAGCTGTGATTCTTGATGGTCTGGTTAATGTTGCATACCTGCATACGGCAAACGAGAGCATAGTCGACCAGCTCTTTGAACAAAGTGGCTCGTATATTGTCTTTGCAAGACCATCCCCAAAGATCCTTGCCATTACCACTGTCTTTACTGTTCTGCAGTAGAGCAGCAGCTACAACCCACATGATAACAGTGAAAACGAAGAAGCCACCGGCAAAAAGAGTGTAGTACACATTTACTTTCTCTGCACGGCGCTCCTTTCCACGGCAATTGTTCCAAAGCACGACGATGGACAAGAACATGTTGATAGAGGTCATGACTAGAATGAGAATTTGAGGCCAGGGATTGGTATTAGGATCCCAAGGAGAAAGTCCGTTTCTGGTCTCCAGATGTCTAGTTGCGCGGAAGATGAGGAATGACTGAGCAAGCAATGCAAGAACAATCAAGCTGCAGGAGAAATTGACACCACGCAACAAGATCTTCGAGAGGCGGACTCGTGTTTTGATTTTCTATGAAACATGTTAGAACATGCTCTGTTAGCACTAAATGGAAGGGAGCTTACCAAATCCTTTGCATTCTCTTCCTCTGCATCTTTCTCGTGGATCTCAAGAATCTGCTCCTCTCTGAAAGTTGGGCTCAACGGGTTCGCATTTCCGAACCGACCAGGGGTGCCAGGTACTTTCATGGCACTCTTAAGTGGTGAGTTTGGTACGTTGGCTGAAGAGCCGGGTGCATCTCGATCAGGTCGGTTATCAGAAACATAGCCGAATCCTACATCAGAGACGGTAGGTTTCTTGTTTGAGTCCGAAGAGCCTGGTTTGGGAGGGTCGGCAAAGGGAGACTCGGAAGGAGGGTCTCGAGACGAGCTCTCCATTGTTGTTGAGTGCGCAGCGAATCCAACCATTTGTTTGCGCGTTGGCTGTACTACGTCGACAGGAGTAACTGGGTCTTGAGAGAACGAATGTTCTGATCCCTCAGTATAGTCGTGAGGATGTAATCTCGACATCCCAACGATGTGTGAAGAAGGGCGAGAGAGGAGTGTTGGCCGCTTAATAGGAGGGAAAACAGCCTCGAGGCGGAGCTAACTCTCTGGTGTCGTACAGAACGGACCTACGCATTCGCAATATTAGAAGAGCCAAAGACAAAGGACGACATGACCGCCTGCATAGATCGACGTACAGAACAGTGTGAACCCTTCCGAAGGCAGTGTGCAGTGTGCTCTTATCGACGCAGCCTTTGGCAATGTTGAAAAAGATGGCGCTTAGGATGAATCGCTCACAAGCAGGCACGAAACCAGTCGCAGCCGTAGGATCAGTAGGGTTAGGTGAGAGAGCAAGAGACACACAGAAAAGAGAATCGAGAGAGAGAAAGAGAAGAGGGAACAGAAAAGCTGATGGGAGTGAGATATTGTATCCTTAGCGCCCGTCACAGCTAGGAACCCTGAGAGGGTGGGCAGTCGGGGCTATTTCAAGCAGCCAGTAGGCTCTCCACGTTAACCGCCCGCATTTGAGTAACGGGTACGTTTATGCCAGTGAGCCCAGGCCTAAACCTAATCAATGTGGGCTCCCAGCTTGAGAGACCCGGCCGGGCAAGATAAAAATGCTGGCCGGCCTCTGTACGAAGTGAAATTCGACGTCGATCTGCCCATGTAAGGGATCAAAGTCGCCAATTGACCAGGCATGACAAAGAGAAAACAGAAATGCAAGCTATGACTGTGATGGTCCAGGGGTTTCTCGACTGGGTGGTGCGAACGGAGCGAGAGGTGGTGAGGCCATGGTCCATCCAACAGTCAGTTACAATGAAAGATGCGCTCCGTTTGGTCCGTTGCAACATGCCTGGGCAGTTGCCTTGCGGTTCCAGGGTCTATCCTCACTGAGCGACCGGGGTGGCGGTCGAATGACAGGCCAGAGTCGACTGCCAGGATAGCTGGTGTGATGCAGGAAGGATGCAGATGTGCTGCGGCCGATGTGATGGGCCAGCGGTGCAGGTGATTCTCGCTGTGATGGATGCAAATCCTGTCACACGCTAGGACCACTACGGCTAGATCCGCGGGATCTACTTAGCCAATCACCATGTCACAACTTACTTTTAGGATTGCCCCGCCCACTCTTCATTGGTTGACATCATAACTCAAATTCCAGAGCGCTAAAAATAGTGGAGCACGGCCTCGCTTGCTAAAAATACGTTTAAAGTACCTCAATATATACCTTATTTTGGTGTGAATACAAGTATCTCAAAAGTACCATATCCCCTTCAACTAAAGGTATTCCACGGCATGCAGAAGACACGGCCCAATTACAGGCATCGCAGGGCACTCCGCCACGGCACTGCTGAAGAGGGCTTCATGCATTGTTCCTCCTCTCCCTGCATAAGTACATGCAACTTCCCTTGAAGGGTTCTTGTTCGTGATTATTGAGTGAATTTCAATGTGATTGTCTGACTGCATCCTCGTTTTCCAGAGTACCGGGTCGAATACCTTGTACCATCAAGCCATGGGCACGCCGAAATTAATATATGATATGACAGGGTGGTCTTTATTTGGGGCCAAAGGTTGCTAACCAAAGGCGATCCCCCATCATTTTCGCTTGTAGCCGGTTCGAAGGACACCCAACTAAATATTGGTGATAAATGTTGTATTCTCCATCTTAGCCAACATCAAGAGTAAAACATAGTGGTCTGGAAGTGAGAGCAGTGGATAGCTACTAGTTATTTCTAGGCACTTTGCGGGGGAAATAAGTTACAAGCATCCGAATGTTCAATTTACTTGTGATGATTAATTGTGCTGCAGAGTTATGTACGGAGTGTTCGTTTGGCCTCTCACGCGATACCTAATTACCCAGCGCGCCTTGATGTAATACTAGAACAATAGGCTCCCAAAGCAGAGCAATGAGCTGCTCGCCATATACTCTGTACTGCCCTACGCCCGGTGTCGATACAATATCATCACTGGGAGTGTACTCATAGAGCGGAGATACTTGACTCGCAAACCTACCACACCTTTAAACCCTACCCAACTGTCTAAAAATAAACCAGCTGCCATATCGTCTAAATAAAGTCCTGAGCGACAGGCCACACTTTATCAAGAATTGTATCCGACAGAATGTGGAGCGGTAATTGGACGGATATTCCGTTTGACTTCGAAATTAATTCAAGCACAAACGCGCTCATTTTGTGCATTGTTGATCATTGGTAAAGGTGTTGAGGATGTGGCGAAATGCGGGAACTAAGGTGGATCATTCAATGGTTGTTTCGTCTATATATATGCCGGCAATCAGCCGTGACGCCGGTTACTTCATACTTCGTACACGTTTGCTCCTTTCTAGGTGGTGCCTTACCCTCTGACTCTCTTGGCTGTGGATGCTGGCGTCATTTCAGTTAATTCTTGTTTCAATGTCAAACAAACTGCAGTATGAACGGGAGCGACTGATTTAATGGCTAGTGTCCATAACATCAAATATGAGAGATTCAATGTTGAAAATATGTCATATCTAACTGTGTTGGCTAAACCATTAGAGTGTGTAAATGAAATCTGGCCGTTCATCGCCTAGCATCTCGATGCCATGTTCATCGAGTCCCTCGATCCACTTGTTTCGTTCTCCTTTCACCCTCTTCCCATTCTCAATTCTTAGGAGTACATGCTGTAAGACACTACCACCAAAAAGGAATACAACCAGGTACCCCAGGACAATGCCATGTCCAGGGAAGAAGTTTGGTGCGTCTTGAGATCTATAAATATTGGAAGATATTACACCGTTGAGGTTTCCCCATCCAATAATAAAGCCAAGGCTGACACCACGTTTATATACTCCTATACATCGATGTTAGATTGCATGCATATTATGGAAGTTGACAGATTAAAGAAATAAGCGTACCCTCGGTATTGTTACTGGCCCACGATATCGTATTGGGTATACACGGGTAGATGCCCATTGCCCCGAGAAATGTCCCGGCATACCTTACGCCTGGAGACTTGGCTCCGAGCAACATACTGAACCCAACGATTCCAAGAAGTGATGTGCCAATATTGCACAAGCCGCGCAATTTTGTGCGATCAGCGAATAGTCCGATTATGATGGTCAAAAGACACCCTGCAGCATATGGAGGAACCGAGAGTAGCTGTGCCGTAGTTGATTTATACCCTGAGGATATCAGCCGAGAGAAATATAAAGAATATAGAATCTGAGAATATACCCTAAGAAAAGTTAGTATGTGCTGATATCATGACTGATAAACATAGATAGGGGGGAGTCAAAACTTACTAGTTCTTTGATGATCGTGGGGAGGAAAAGTGAAAATGCATAGAGTGGCCCAACACATCCAGCATATATAAAAGCAGATACATAAGTCTTCCAGTCTTTTATACTAGCCCAGAAGTATTCCATTCTAAAATCCTCGTGTCCGGCACTGGATTGCTTGTCCCTTGCAAGACGCAATATGACTCGTTTCCTATCATCTTCCGATAAGAATGTTGCAGTGTCTGGAAAGTCCTGCACCATCCAAAATGACACTATAGCAATTACTATTGTAGCTAAGCCTTCGAGGATAAAAATCCAAGCCCAGCCAGCCTTACCTCCAACACCGTTCATTTTTGCAATTGCAGCGGCAAGTAGGCCTCCAAACGAACCGGCTACGGCAGCCGCAGAGAAGAAGATAGCCATTCGAATACCAAACTCGGTTCGTTTATACCAGCATGATAAAAAGTAGCTTACGCCAGGGAAAAGTCCTGCTTCGGTGAGACCTAGGAACCATCTCGCGGCCATAAAGCCCGAAAAATCTTTGGTGAGACCCATAGTGGTCATGCAGATACCCTAGGAACAATGACCATTAGCTTCAATCAAAGCGGAGCGCCTGAAAATTCAGCCATACCCAGACAACCATTATACATGGAATAAAAAGACTAGGCCTCAGTTTTTTCAGTAATATGTTGGTCAGGGGTTCAAAGATGGAGTAAGAAACGAAGAATATAGTTAAGGCTGCGGCATATTGGCCATCTGAGAGACGAAGATCTTTCAAGAGGCCCTCAAGTTTTGCGTTTCCGACATTTGTTCGGTCTAGGAAGCTGGAGAGATATTAATAGGTATCCAGAGTATGATCGGGTTTGCTTCTTGACGCACCTAACAAGGTATAGTAATGAAAGCCACGGGACTAGCTTAAAGTCGAGCTTCCGTACCAATGCCTTGTCCTATCGATACGCATTAGCGATCGAGATATTTTACAGTCGGCAACAGTCACACTTCATACCAGCTTCTGCCGCTCTTCCAGGCTCAAGTTAGCATCCGGGTCTTCCGGCTCTGTCTTGAGAGGTATCGTTTTGGCATGGTCGTCTAAGTTCTCAGTAGAGCTTGGCTCTTCTATATCGTGTTTCTCCATGACAGATTCCAGATTCAATGACAGTGGTAGTAGAAAAAGTCCCGAGAAAATGATTGAGGTGCGAGCAGCTCGGTATTTAAAGTCTTTCGCACACACCACACTACTCAGCTCCCTGCAATCTCCTTCGTCATAGAAAGGTGAAGCGTGGGATGCGCACAGATGGCATTGACGAACTAGTTAGCTGGGCAGGGATCAGGTACCTAGACAGGCTTCTCCAGACTTTTCGGCCTTGAGCGGGTTCAAGCGCTGGTCCGGGGCGGACTCGGGCGACGTATTACAAGGTACAGATCGAAAAACATTTGGCATCTCGGGTTCGTGTATTGGAAAAGGGAAACCGTATAATGTTTCGTTTGCCAACCGGCATCTACTCCGCTATATCGGGTAGATGGACAATGATGTTGGCTTGATACCTCGGGGTAAGGGCCGTGGAGTAGATTCGGCGGGGATACCCCGGGAGTGCATGTCCCGGTGTTTTCTGCGTAAAGAGCCGGAACCAGTGACACTCTGGGGGTAAGTGCATTGGCTTGATTATGGCCCGCCTGGGGTTCGCGTACGTATTCCTTCTCCCTTTATCTAGAAGAGGCTAAACGCATGGAGGAATGAGTTTAGCGATCATTTAAAGTTGAATAAGCAAATATGCTTAAAACCTTGATGTAACCACAAATTACGCTAGTCCATATTAGGATAGCTTGGCCTTTTTTCCTTCAATCTTTGACATCGAACGTCAAGAGACGCTGACCAGTACAGGAAGAGAACAAGACGTTGGATACGAACCGTACGAGCCGCTGTAGTTGGTATTGAATAAGTCAATTGATTACACTGGCTAGGAATGCCCTTCTCGCGCTCCATTTTGCTGTCCAGATCTGGCTCTGTGGCCACCCGTCAGGTCCTTCGCTGCTCTAGTGGAAGTCAACCACCCCGCCTTGCAGCTGGCCAGGTAGCTGCAGCATCTCCTTTCATTCGAGCATATTCCTCCGCCCCGCCTCCTCCAAACCACAACCGAAATAACTCTGAGATCAAAGTTCTTCCCATACTTGCAATTCTCGCAGTTGGAAGCGGCGTATACGCCTTTCTGATCAAGTCTCGCGCTCCCAAGGATGTCAAACCCGGCAAGTGAGATGCCCACGTCCGGCGCTCCTGCTGTGACCAAGATATCGGCCGAACTCTCCCCGCCACTCACATCGACCAACACATCTCCTCGTTTCTCTACCGATGAAGTGACTGTTATATTTGTGCTTGGAGGTCCTGGTAGTGGAAAAGGAACGCAATCTGCCAAACTTGTCAAGGACTATGGTTTTTCTCATCTCTCCGCGGGCGATCTGCTCAGAGCCGAGCAGGACCGTGAAGGAAGTCAGTACGGTGACTTGATTCGACATAACATTCGCGAAGGAATCATCGTGCCCATGGAAATCACGGTTACACTTCTCTCCAACGCCATGGCTGCCATTCTTGAGAAGAAAAAGAAAGACGGAAGTAGCGTCGAGCGTACGTCACGGTTCCTCATCGACGGATTCCCACGCAAAATGGATCAAGCAGTTTACTTCGAGGAAACAGTTTGCCCCTCGGCAGGAACTCTTTTCCTATCTTGCACAGAAGAGGTGATGTTGGATCGTCTATTAAAGCGTGGAGAGACTAGCGGCCGTGACGACGATAATATCGAGTCAATTAAGAAGCGATTCCGTGTCTTCGAAGAGACTAGCATGCCGGTTGTCGACTATTACGAGAAGATGGGCAAGGTCATGAGCGTTTCTGCAGTTGGTACTGAGGCCGAAGTTACTGCTCGCATTCACAAGGAGATAGAGAGCCGTGGCATCGTGCAGCAAAGGGGAAATTGATGGGAAATATGGAAAAAGCCAAAAATGTCATTTAGCAAAGCAAGCAGCGTAGATTTTCTCCTCTCCGTTTATTATACAACATAATGCATTTTCTAGACTTTATCAGCAGACTAAGTGTCGTGTACCTACCATCGGATACAACTATCCTCTATAGAGTCGACCATCCTGTATTTTACGAGGTGTCAAACCTTTCCAAGAATCTCAGACGTCATGTTGGAGCCCAAAAGCTCATGGGGTCCTCGGACTAAATGATGTCTATGGTCAGCCCAACAACCGTGCTACGTTCGTCATGAAGCATAGAAACCAACACTCGCAAGAACAGGTTTGATTGAAACCACCCATCTAAAGAAGTAACTCCGCAAGTATCCATGTTTTGATTGGTATGATATGCGTTAAAAAAAGGTCTTGGAGAACGAGGATATGCATCGAATGTTTCCAGTCGAAGGTCTCTTCCCACACCCATGCCCATACACATCCAACGTCCACCCGTCCCCATTCATCTCTCCTCCACTCAATCCAACCACATCATTCCATTCGTCCTGTAGATCATGAAGTTTCGCTGTGTGGGTGGTGCACAGTCCGACTTCACGGTAAAGTATGTAAGGGACGTTCAATTATTCATTTTTAGAAACCGAACGGAACGAAGGCGGCAGAAACGAGACACATCATCTGGGTTGAATCGTTTACCGGTACTATTGCATCTATGAGTGTTTTGTTCGTAGCTTTGCCCCGAGTGATTGATATGTCGTACCTTGATGAAACCGATATCCTTGGACTTCTCACGGAAGCACTGACGGCAGATCATGAGGCCGTACTTGCGGATGATACCAGCCTGGTGAGCGCAAGCGCGGCTGTAAAGAAAACGATCCCAGTTAGCAATATATTCCATATTCAACCAAACGCCATCCAAACTTGTATTCTGCTCCTTGTTCTCGCGACGCATGGGTTGTAGGAGCGTACCATTGACGGCTGCCCTTGCCGTAGTTTCGTGGGCGGCTGTAGAAGACGGATTCGTGAGTCATGGTGACGGTTGAGTTGGTGATTCCGTTAAGTCGAGACGACGTGAGTTCAAGGCGCTGCGATGGAGGTCACTTTCTTCTGTGCGCTTTTTGGTAACATCGAAATTTTGGCGATCCCGCAGAGCAACGATTAGCGAGACTACGCCCGATGCGGTTAGTCTGTCATGTGATATAGAATTATTATGTAATATTCAAGGTTCAGGGCTTAGCCCTAGCATATTACTAATTTATGACTTACTACCTTTGGATCCAGATAGCTTTTACAGATGATGAAGATTGATAAACATCCAAGTTTGATTGATTCTTCTTTTATATTTTTTCCGATCCTCATCTCTCATACTCATTTGTGTTCATGCTCATGGTCAACATTATAAAAAACAACGAGCTTGATCTATTGAAATTCCTTTCCACGTTCATGGGGGTTGAATGCAAGAAAGAAACATAGAAGTCAAGGGAAGATCAAACCACGAGGAAGTGATTAATTTAGAAAAAGGCAGGAAGGGAAGAAGAAGATGTTAAAAGCAAGCACGAAAAACGCCCAGTATACTCAAGTCTTTGTAGGAAAGTAAACAAAAGGATGCGTAAGGGGAAAGTGGGAAGGAAGGGAAAGAAACAGCCTAGTCACCACCGGCAACCAGCTCCATATCCCTAGCTTGGTGCTGATGTGATTGGTGTCCTCCTCTCCTTCGCTCGCCTCCTCCTCTTCCTCCAAATGAGAATCTTTCGGCTTCAGTAGACCCCTGGGCAGGGGCAGCTGCAGCAGAGGCAGCTTCCTTGAACTTCTCCTTTTCGGAGCGGATGACGTCAAGGACGTTCAGTAGGCTCTGTTTCCAGACCATGAGACGGCCTTGGACTTCACCCCACTGTCGTTCACCAAAGACACGGTAGGTAGCACGGTGAACAAGGAACTCGCCCTTTAGCTGGGAGAGTTTTCCCTCGACAAGGCCAGCACGGATGGTATCGATAACCCATTTCTCTACATCCTCTCGCTCGATGCGGAGTGCGGTGGCGATGTCGTTGTATGGGAGAGATCGAGATTGGGCCTTTGCGGCAAGACTGGCAAGCGTAAGCAGACGCATCTTGGTCTGTAGAATGGATTCCACGGATGGGGGTTCGCTTGAAGCGGCGGACGTGGTGGTGGTGGGGGCAATAGTCTTGACGGATGCTAGGGCAGAGATGGAGGAGATTGGGTTCTCCTTGATGAAGTCCTCGTAAGCATCGAGGACGTCGGTAGAAAAGAGTTCCAGAAGCTCAAAAAGGGAAGCATCAGTGGATCGAAGACTTTGGACGGCATCGCTGGATGTTAGAGGGGTGAAGTCGAAGACAAATGGGAAAGAAAGAGCAGTGGTAAGAGATCGAACAGCCAATTCACGGGCTTGAGTAGAGGCGGCTTCAGCTGGTGGTATGGCGTGTAGTGCCTGGATAAGGTGGTGGTATGAAAGCTCGGCATCACCGGCAGCCCTGGCAGCGTCCGAGATGGACATGTGCAGTTTCTGGGTCTCGTCTTCGTCTAGGTCCCAGGACTCGATCCAGGTGGGCAGCTGATTAGACAGTTGAGTCTTGAGGGCCTCGAATGCGAGGGCAGAAGAGGTGCTTCGGATAACTGCCATGATGGCAAGGAAGACATGGTATCTGCTAGAGTCATCTGCGTCCAGGGTGTTGAAGATGGTTGCCAGGATAGATAGGGCAATGGAAGGGCCATGCATCGGTGATGAAGGCATTGGTTTAGCCAGGAACGCGCAGATCTTGGGTAAAAACATATCCACCGAGCTCGATTGACGGACCAAGTAGACGAGCAAGTTATACGCCGCAGTGATTTCTACCCCCAGTTAGCATTCTTAACTTGGCTATCTTTCAAGCAGGAAACGCAAGAACAAAATAAGCCGCCATACCCTTCTCAGGAGCTCCATTAAGCACAGGAGCCGCAAGCACCACTTTCTTCAGCACTTCGGTTCTCTCATTCTGGACCTCCTTTGTCTGTGCCTCTGTCAACTCCTCCTCGCTCTGCTCCTTTTCCCGCAACTTTTCGAGGAACGGCGCAATTTCAGCATGCACGGAGGGCACCTCTGCACTGGGGGTCGCCGAGGCAGCCGAGACAGACTTGCGAATCGAGTCAATGTAGCGGGCGAGTTCGTCTGCAAGTTCGTCGAACGATCCCTCGATCAGGAGGGTGTTGGTAGCCATGTTGGTATCTCGATATTTCTTTTCTTGTGAGATTTTCCCTTGTTCCTTTCTCGTTTCCTTTTCGTTCGCTCCGTCGCCTATCCCGATGCACGTAGTCTCAGTGTCCTTCACCAGTGTCAACGTCGAGCACGAGGTGTTCGTCCTGCTGGTCTGGCTGGTGGGATGTTTTTTTTTAACGACTTTCGATGTTCGATAAACTTTCTACGCACTTTTTTTCTTGTGTGGAAGTCTTGGCGGGTCAGACTGCTGACTAAGGATGCCTACTTGTGCTACGTTAGCTAAGCCCTTCTCCAACCAAATCGCATTGATGGTTTAGTGGTAAAATCCGTCGTTGCCATCGACGGGCCCCGGGTTCGATTCCCGGTCGATGCACTTTTTTGACCATTTCTTTTTTTCACATTTTCTTTTTTTTTTTTACTCCTTTTTCTTTGCTGGTTGGTTGATCGGGATGCAATTGCGATGCTTGAAATGGGTAGTAACTTTACGGAGTAGAAGATAGATAGAAGTAGAAAGTGGTAACTGGAATAGGCATCGATATCATTCGCATTCACACATAGGTACATCATCGCGGAATTGCCGGCTCGACGCTTGAGAACAAGAAAAAAGGACAGGGAAAACAGCAAGAAAGCAAGGTGGAGAAGAGGAGTCCCGGCTAGCAATGACCCTGGGAGGTTCGGCGCGAAGTGAAGCCGCCGATCAACAGGGATGTGCCAACCACGCCAATCAGTTCGAGTCACCGAGGTTTCCTGCAAGAACCGCATGGTGCCCAACACTGCTCATCTCCGACATGCAAAACAGGTCCGTCACTCAGGCCAGGGGGGGGGGGGGGGTAACTAGTTGATGGTGTGGTAGTTAAACATAAGAAACTTGGGAATAATAAAAAAGGGGAGGGGAATAATTAATCTCGTTTCAGGATATCGAACACCCATGCCTCTCTAGAGTAGGAGACCAAAGACGCCCAAAACTACCGTGGCGAAAATGCCGAGGGAGTAGTCCTTAACGGCCATGATAGCAGCAGCATTAGTGTGGGAGGGAGCAGATCCAGTGTTGGTAGCGGATGGGGTGCTTTCGGTGGAGGAGGCGGTGGGCTCGCTGCTGGACGATGAGGTAGTCTGAGAGTCGTCACCGCCAGAAGAGGGTGCCTTCAGCTTGCCGCACTTCTCCTGGTTGTCCTTGCAGACCTGCTGGCCATCAGCGTCGTCGGGGTGAGCCTTGATGCACTGGCCGAAGGTGGCCTGGCAGATGAACCAAGGGAGAGAGTTGACGTATTGGTCAATCTGGGGCACGGTGCCGTTCTGGCACTCGCAGGAGAACTCAAGAGTGTCCTGTGCGTTCTGTCAGCAAACTTGCATGCACGTTTTGGCGTAGAAACAATAGAAACAAAGAGGGCCAAAAGCTTACCGGGTCGCATCTGTTGACCTTGTAGGAACCACAGACGGCGCTACAGGTGTTGGCTTCACCTTGACACCAGCTGTCTATAGAGATATCAGTATAAGAGTCCCAATTGACCGGCTAGCTATTCATTCAGCGTGGACTGGCGAGAGTAACATACCCTTCTCCTCGGGAGAAACAGCTCCGGCATTGAAGTCTGGAGGAACAGTGTAGTTCGAGCCGAGCGCGACCACAGTGGACGCGAGGACGGGAAGAGTGATGAGAGTAGAGAGCAACATCGTGGCTGTTGTGTGAAGCTGTTGGTAGCTGACTGTAGCTGCGCGGTGACGGTTCCTATCGAGAGAGTCAGCGTCAAGCCCGGCAACCAGAGCGTCTATTCACCTACCGTCGAGTAACTCGAGAGAAGAGCAGTCGAGCTGAGTTTGGTCGAGCTGTGCAGGCGTGGTTGTAGAGAGGAAGAGTGCGCGTTGATGAAGAAGGTGAAGAGGAAGAAAATAAACAAGAGGGAGAGAAGAAAAAAAACAGGAAGAAGAAGCTGGTCGCAAACTGCCCAAAGAGGAAAAGCGCCCGTGACTTTGTCGCCCACGGAAATCTATACAGAAACCCGAGTCACTTTTGCTTCTTCTTACTCTTTTTCTACCATTTTTTCGTCTTCTGCCTTTTATCTATGTAAATGACTACTGGCGGGTGCAATCTCCTCCGAGGAAACCTGATACTCAATATCAAACACGGACTATTCCCATCATCAGCAGGGCTAGCGTCCTGGCAGAGGAAATAGTCTGCCAAACAGCCGTGGCTCCCCTGTGCTGCAAAAGGGGTGCACCAGGGCTCCATATACTCCCCCGTACGATTGCACAGGATGGGGACCCATTTCACAATGGGCTGGCTCTGTGCTTCATCTGTTCCAGGGAGGACAGAGCACGGCCAGTCACTTTGCTCGATGGCTGGTCGATGGCTGATTCTTTAACCAGACCGGACGGAAACAGCGGCTATTTTTTTAGAAGGTGAGTGAGTTAAAGCTGTTTGTTGGGTAGAAACCGATCCAGGTTGCTTTTTCTATAGATCTACAAGCCGATGAGAGAGTGCTGGGGAAGCTATATCGCTATGGAAACGAGAGATCGAGCTGTTGAGCGCCAAGATGGGACGGTTGTCCGAAGATCAAGCTTGATCTAACTGTGGCGGCTGGAGGCGTCCCTATGACGGGAGAGGGCGGGTTAGCGAGCAGCGAAAGGCGATGATGAAGTGGAAGACTTGACCGAGCGGTCCTTTCAAGGTAATAAAACATGGCACCGTGGGGGTTCGTTATTCTGTCTCCTTTTGCCCGGTGACGCTGAGCATGAAACTGCCGAACGGTATGGATAGTGTAGCAGTGCTGGAGGCTCAATTGGAGTACAGACAGCCTATCGAATACCGGTATAGCAAATATAGCTGGTTGGTGACTACATTCTAACTGGTACAAGGTAAGAGTGCAGGTATAGATATCTCGAGTCTTCGCCTTTATTTACTGCCAAGAAGTGTTCCTGGCCGGCTGCTTGTTAGTGAATCCTCCGGCTATTCGGACGTTCAACGTCAACTTCACCAAATACCTACAACTCCAAACCACAGCTGCTCCGTACAGATAGCTCTACAGGTTAATTGATTAATGATTCGGAGGGCGGAGCTCATGATGACCGCTCCAAAGCCATACACGATGCCAGACGCCACAAAGTCAGCCTTCCAAGCCAATAACTGGACAAACTCACTCCTCAAGAACAACGCCTACCAGCCCATCGAAACCTACTGCCGCAAGCCAAAGCCTCAGACGGGAGAAGACACCTTCATCGCTACCATAATAAACACTCCAACCACAATTCCGCATCTCCTCACCCTGCAACGGAAACCAGAACAGCTCGCCAAACCTCCCTCCAAGGCTCCCTCCCTCCCAACCCCGCCAGAGCAATGGCCAAAGATCCCTTCAAACCAGCCAGCAGATGTCGTCAACATGCTCTACTTCGCCGAGCCAGACCTTAACGGTCACCCAGGCATTGTTCATGGCGGTATCATATCCACGCTACTCGACGAACTGATGGCCGTCAGTGTTGCTACACATTTACCCGGCTTCGACTTTGCTAATACCGAGAAATTCGGCCAGCTGTTTACCGTGCAGTTGGATGTTCGGTTCAAGAGGCCGGTTAGGGCTGGTGCTCATGCTGTGCTGAGGACGTGGTGTATTGGCAACGAGGGCCGTAAGTGGTGGGTTAGAGCTCAGCTGGTGCAAGAGGAAAGCCCGATAAAGCCTAATGGAGAGAAGGTCGAGTGGGTAAAGAAGAAGTACGTTTGTGCTGATGCTGTGGGTTTCTTTATCTTAGTTAAGGACTCGAAGCTTTGATTCTGGTTGCAACTCGTTTCTAGAAAATATATGTCTGCGCTATGTAGCGAGCTTTGTATATACATCGGTATCGTTTATGGCTCTAAATCAAGTCTATGTTTACAAATATGTCGTATCATCATATCTTGCTCTCACCATTGGGCTTTCCACTGCCCTTTCTCGCACTTAGATTTCTCTCTGCTCCAATAACCAATGCAACATGGTTACTCAGAGCGACAATCTCACCTTTCTCGTCCATAATAATAACATCCAAATCCATTCTACCGTTATGTAGCCTTTTCGTTTGAACCCGTGAGTAAAGCCACTCTACCCCTTCAGCAGGCAATTTCTTCTTGACATCCAGATTCAACAAGATAGTAGGATACCAGAACTTGCCCTTGGGAGATAACTTGCCATCTTTACCAACAGCATACTTCTCCTTCTCCTTCACTTCTTTAGGTCTCTTGTCCCAAGGCTTATCGTCAAACGACTCCAACATCGTGGGGAACGTATCGGCTAGAAACCCAAGCGTTTCATCCGTCCATCTTTCTACCTTTCCATAAGGCGCAAACCGAGCCCATTGCTCAACGAATCCACTGGAAACCATAGCAGGTGCAGTAGGAGTGTAGAATTCAACATGTCGGCTTGCTTTTCTCATTGAAGCAAAGGCTATATTGAACCGTTTCCATGCTCTGCTCTGGCCGGTGCTGACAAGCTGCTTGAAATCCACAGCGGGCGCAGCAGGTTTCAACGCAAAAGGCTTATCTATGCTTGGCCCTTCTTCACTGGCTATATGTGATACGGTGACGTATCCGGCAACTTCTTCGCGGCGGTTCCCGTCTGGATCCTGCTGAGTGAGTGTTATATGTAGCGTTGACGTACGGGAGCCCAGCTTCGTATCAACAACGGTGAACAGGGCAGAGCCGATATTTGTCCGACGTATAAAGGTGAGGTACAATGTTATGGGATCTGGAGCGCCCTTGTGGTATGTTGGATGAGTGGTCTTCATATGCTTGCGGGCTACAGCGTAGAAGATTGAGGTCACGTAACCGCCATGGGGAACTACCATCTTGTTAATATAAAGAAGCCCATGAAGCATGTCGCGGAGCTCATAGGGAGATACTTACCAGTACCGATGCACCATTCCGTGCGGAAGTTTGCAGCATATGTATGAGATGACAGGGGGGTTATCGCGATGGCTTCTCTGAAGCTCGTTGCGTGCAGAGATTGCGCTAGCTCCATATTGTCTCTAGCAACCAGCGTTAATTCCTCCTCTTGTAATATAAAAGACAATGATAATGACAGACGAAGAGCAATGGAGACGAGAAACCTTTGAACTTGCGGCTCGTAAAGCGACTTCTGGTTGCGCCGAGATGCCTCGGCTCATTCCACGTGACCTGTATCTCGGGGCGGCAACCTTCACCTATTATGTTTTTTTTTTTTTCACTTTTAGTTTTACTTTTATTTCAAAGAGTTTATTTTGTATATAAACCAACCTTCTGCTCCGTAGCTGCAGAACAGCATGAAGACATCTCGGTACCCTGGTGAGAAGACGTGATAGAATAGGTGTCAAACTGATAGACGATTACGAGCGAACTGTCCTGCAACGAGTTACTCTATACAGTGCAGCTTGTCCGGTGTGAGAGTAGACACAGGTCCCTGGTGACGTCACTTTTCCCCGAGCCTTCATCTACTTATCAGCAGTAGATTCGCTATTGTTCTCGCAGAGAACAGATTCTCTTAACAACGACAGCATTCTCCAATAATCTTACCAGAGCGAAGTGACATTTTTTTCTTTCCCTCGTCGAATATAAATATGGGGAGTATAACAAATCAGGGAGACGCGCCTGCGACGCGACTCTTGAGAAGCAACGCACCGCAGTTACCACAAGTCCTCACACCGCAGAAGCTCTTCAGTACTATCCGCAAAGAAATCTTAGAGGCGACTGAGCATAAGGAGCTAGTCTACGAAGACATTCCTGAAGAGACTGGGACTCTTGTCGTCGACTCCTTGGACCAGGATCCTGACATTGAAAACTCCTGTCCTCGGTAATACATGCCCCTCTAACAACTTCTTCAGTGATAATAGAATATTACTAACTCGTGTGGTAGTGTTGGATATAATTCTCTTACTAGAACCATCGATATCACCATTATGCCCACGTTTGTGCATGATGCATCTCACTCGTGGTTCACCCGGGAGCTGTTCTCGATGTATCGTTCTGGGTTCTTAACGGAAACTGAACAGGATTCTATTTCGTTTTTCAGTAACCCTAGTACGTATAACGCCTTTCTATCTCTATTGTTTTTTATTTTATTGTCTAAATTTCAATAAATAGCGTTCAAGGGGTTTCAGCCTCCTTATGCTGCATCCCGAAAAGAACCAGATCATGCACTCCTGCCAGATGACCAAGAGTTCCCAAGCCTCGTGTTCGAGTCAGCGTGGTCAGAGTCTATGCCGAGACTTCACCGCGACAAGGACCTATGGTTGCAGGGCGGGCGGCCAGATACACAGCTTGTCTTTCTCGTCAAATGGTCAAAATCCGTTCACGGCGTAGTAAGAGGGATTGTTGAGGTTCATGGGAGAAATTCAGCTGGTGCGCCACAGCTCTTGCAGGTTGAGGTATGTTAGGTGAACGTATCCTGAGGCTTTTTGGGATTTTTTTCTTAACCACAAATTTTTAGTCAATTTTTCCTGCTCCTGCAAACCCAGCCAGCCAAACCATCCCCATTACTCTTGGCCAAGTCATGGGCCGAAACCTTCCCGGCGGACGGAACTCAACAGATGTCCACCACTTATCTCTAGACACATTCCGCAGCGCCGCTGGGAAATTAGTGGAAAGAGAAGGATTTACTCATGCTTGAGGTACTAGAACTGTTGGCGTGCGGATATTCCTCCCCCTCTCGTCTCTTTTTCTCTTCTTATGGAATGTAATAGTTACGTGTCTTTTAATTTGTGTGAACAAATAGTTGTCGTGCATTAGTATTACACGTTACTATGGCAAGGAAATTGACGCGGCAATCTGTACAATACATATGCTGCCATGGCTGGGGGTGCATATGAACTTCGAGAGTAGCGGGAAAATAATTTGACTCTGTGAATTCACTCTCCGTTTGATGCTGGAATATAAGACAGTTTCTGAGCGAGTGACGCCGAATCCCTCCGCTGCGATATGTCAACCAATTTTCCTAGACATGACAATGCTCCTAATAAAGGATGTTTGCAGTTAGCCCTCCAATATAAATGGGAAGGGGTAGGGTTAAGTGGATATACGTACCTGTAACGCCTTGATTCAGAGTGGCCATGGCCTCTGTGTTCTTCGTTCCCAACGTAACAGTCATGACATTCTTCACCTTCTTTTCTTTGCCAAGTTCATTCGCCCATCTGAATGCAGGCTCATCGTCTCTTCCATCGCCAATCACAAGAATAAAGTCCGGTACATCTTCATCATTTTCATCTGTCTCGCTCTTCCAGTCTATAGCCATCCCGTGCTTGACACTGCTTGTACTACCGGCACTAGAGCTTCTATGTGACTCTCTTCTCGCATATGCGGAAAACACCACGTTAGCAGCAGTACCTTTGTTTGGCTCCACCGGCCCGGCAACGACGCAGCCGTCCATCTGAATTGCTCTCAGACTATGGTTGCCGCAACTGTCGTTGACGTTATTTGCGCATTCGGAAGCGTGGCGTTCTGCACTTTCGGTATCTTCCGCTCGTTCATAATGAAAGATAAGTGATGCGTGTGTTTCTTCGATCCAGCTACCTTCTGTACGTTCCTGGAAGTAACGAAGCATGGGGGAAAGAGATAGCTTCCAGTCATTCATCTTGGACATGTCGATGAGACGGATCCAATTTGAGGTTACAAACGTGCCTGCTGTTGGCGGAGAGGGCGATGGGGATATTATGGGAGGCGGCCGCACAAAGCATCCGTTTTCTGCTATTAGGCCAAGACCTGGAACGCGGCTGAAGAGGCGTTCCATGTCTTCTGGCATGCGTGAGGACATTACGTAGACTGTGTTAAAGGGGTCCTCGAGTAGGTCCGTCAGGGTATCGATGGCTCGCTGAGGAGTTGTGAGGACTGTATTTGTCGGTTGACCCCAGCTGACCAGGGTGCCTTCGTAATCTAGGAGGAAGAGACGGCGGCTAGATGTACGGTAGGCATCACAAAGATTAGGAATTGACAGCCGGGGCACTGCAACGGTTTCACGAGTTGAATGTTGGCGGTATGCATGGTCAAGCGCCTCCGTGAAGTTGTTTACCCATCGGGTGGTGACGTGGTCCTTTGCGGTTGTATTGAGACGAGTCCATTGCGCTAGACGGGTCTCAGGAGACATTTCGAGAGCTGTGTTTATTGCATCTGCACATTCTTGATAATTCCATGGGTTGACAAGCAGAGGATGGTAATTGAAAATAGATGCACTCCCCGTAAATTCACTGAGAATCAGCGGTCCGTGTTTAGACGACGAAAGCATGCCATCCTGGCAGTGGATGAACTCATGGCTGGTGAGATTCATTCCTTCACGCAGGCTGGTGACCATGAAAACATCTGCAACGGATATAAGAGCAAGATATTGATCAAAAAGGAGGTCTTGTTTGTGGAAAATAAGCGGCTGGTGAGCGAGGTTGGAGTGTACCGAGTTGATACGGGTGGCGATGTCAGAAACGGAGGCTTCTAGTTCTGGCTGTTCCGTAGTAGTAGATGCAACCTGTATGAGGACGACTGAATCTCTCCAATGAGGGTACTTGTTGAGGAACAGTTCATACGCCAGGAGCTTCTGGCGTACTCCCCTGACGTTGTCTAGTTTATCTCTAGCAACAATGAGCCTTTTGCCTTTAAACTTATCCTGTAGAATGTTTATCCACGACTTGACTTCTCCGCACTGTCGCCGGATGTCGAGTGAGACGGGATCAATTCCAATGGGGAATGTGCCGACATTGACGAATCTATCCTCTAGCTGTACACCATCCTTTGTAGCCTCGACGTTGAGCAAGCGACTACAAGTTTGCAAGAAATGGTGACAGTACTCTTGCGTCTGGAAACCGATCAGGTTTGCACCGAGCATCCCCTTGAGCAACTCCATCCGGACGGAGAGGCACCTGAACACCTCTGAGGAGGGGAAAGCGACATGAAGAAAGATGCCTATCTGTGCATCGGGTATTTCCTTTCTCACCATGGCGGGTACCAGGAGGAGATGGTAATCGTGTACCCATATCACGTCTCCCCTTTTCCAGTTTTTGATCAGCTCCTTTGCAAAATTGTAGTTGACACGACGGTAGAATATCCATGAATGGTCTTCGTAAGCCTTGCTCTTGGGGTTATCCGGAATTTGATAATGGAACACCGGCCAGAGGATCATTTTGCAAAAGTGTGAATAGTGGCTGTCGAAGTCATTATCCGAGACAAATATGGTCAATGCCTCATAGTCGGCTGCCAACTTTTCAGCAATAGCTTCCTTCTGCTTCTCGTGCAATGCATCGGTGGGCATCCCCAGTGTGCCGACCCATAGCTTGTCTTTCATATATGGCCAATCAACAGCTGAGCGTATTGCGTTCAACAGACCACCGTTTCCTTGTTCTGAAGGCTGGACCGTCCATTCTGCACCCTCAAATACTTTCTCCTGGCTTAGCTGGGGCCCGGCCTCTACAGATGGCCGTACCGGCGAAGGAGGTAAAACTGCCGGTTCGGTCCTTGACAGCTCCGAAGCAGACTCCTGGCCCAATGCATGGTTGAGGATGGAGGATGACGGAGGTGCAAGAGCCTGGGCTTTGGGCTGGTTAAACGCCCCCGGAGAACCCCAGCGAGGCGAGTGGGGGTCACTGGGTGCCAGAAGCCGTGGCTGCTGGGAGTCAACGTCTACACCGGAGCTGGAGTAGTCCGGACAGGAGAAGATGCGGCCTTGATCCCTTAAGTTGGACGGTCGACGGCCTGCCACGGCCGATCCGGGTGCCGGACTCGATGCAGTAGCAGACGCTGACGCAGTCGTCGACGCCGACACCGACGTAGGAGTGGCTGTTTGGCTGCCTGGTAAGCGGCCAAAGAGCGTAGGTCTCTGGCCGGAGCTCTTGCGGCGGTGGTGATGAGAGGCCTTGCGCTGGAAGCCTTCCGGCAGCGCAAAGTCGATCGTGTGCGGCAGAAAGCTGGCTCGGTCAGCAAAGAGGGCTCGTAATACACATGTATTCATGCACACAGGGAGAAAAACAATCAACCACGGGCCGGAACATACAGAGAAACGATGAATATCGTCATTGTCGCAGCTTGTACGGCTCTATCAGCGCATGTATGGGTGTCTCCTGGCCGCACTGTGACCCCTCCATACAACCAGCACTGGGCGAGCGAGAGGGGCAGCAAGCCCGTACCTAGAAACTAGTTGGTTAAAGCACGAACAGGACGAGAGAAACGCTTTCAGGTCACAGCAGTATTAGTTCGCCAGACAGCACCAGGAGCAGGCATCGAGCTAGCTGGTGAACGCCGGGGGGATGTGAGAAGAGCAGCAGTCGAGGTCGAGGTCGAGGTCGAGGAGTGGTGGTCGACGTCGGCGGCAGTCGAGTAACGTGAGATTCACCAAGTTTCCCGGATATCCCAGATCGACCATGCGCCAGCTGCGAGCTGCGAGCCCAGCCCAGCCAGCCCGCCAGTCAATTGATCAATCAGCCAGTGCAATTTAGCCTGCAGCCGAACCACGGGTTGCGCACATGGACGTAACTTTGCGCTGCCTGCTTTGTTGCCTTGTCGATGCTGAAACTGTTGGATTCTAGCCAAACCCGAAACCAGTGCTACCTACGTCATACCCCGGGTACGTAGACGGCCGGCTGACGGGCAGGGCAGGGCAAGCCAGGAGCCGGGAGAAGCAGGTTGGCAGGGCAGATACCAATGGCGATGTTGCTGTTGCTGTTGCTGTTGCTATTGGCGTTGACGTTGTAGTCGGTTAACTAATATCGACTGGACGGTTGATGGTCATGCTTGATCCGACTTGATGCTCTTTTCCTACGATGAAACTCGGTCGACTAAAGGCTCAATTGAACATATCACATTCCGTGCTACGGTTCTCAGCTGCCTCATTTCCCAAGGACTTGCTTGCATCTACAGTTTGTTATCAACCTAGATTCAATTGCTTTTTGCTTCTTCTCGAGGCTTATATTCATGCTCTGCAGCTCATTCGCCAAACTACCACCCTTTTACTTATACTCTGCATACTACGACTCTATTCTCGATTTATGATCGATTTATTGATCGATTGATCGAATCTATGAATGAATGAAAATTGAATAATTTTTATTATTTTTATTCATTATTTTTATTGTAACAAAAACGCCGAGAAATTATCGCTTATATAATGATGTAATCACGTGCTATACATTATTCATGATGTAGTAATAAACTCTATATGACTAATAAATGACATAACTAACACGTGATAAATTTTTGATATAAAAAGAAACATGAGTAAAGGAGAAAAACGTCAAGCGAACGACTTCAAAAGGGAGGATATAAAGCGAAGGCAAAGGCAAAGACGAAGCGGAAGAGGATAGAAATAACAATATAAGACGGTGATGCCGCTTAATCTGACGGCTGCGCATTCGTCTCGCATAAAGAAACCGACTTCAGCGGCTCGGCAGAAGGCCCCCTTTGCCTCCTTTCGGAGTACCAAGGCAGCTTCCACGCCGACTGCAGCTCATAGCAAAGGCAAGAAGCTCAAAGCCAGCCTCCAGCAGACGGAGGAAAGTAATAGAAGTGCCTTGAAATATAGTACCAGTAGCAGTTCTGCTGGTGGAGATGTCCTGTTCGATGAAGCACTGCCAGACCTGGGCCCTTCGAGGGCCGTCACAGAGTCCATCGCCGTCACCAGCGTGACTCAGGCCATCCAGCATGTCCAAAGTACCATGTTCAGTGCCATTCCGGAAAGGAGGTCGGGCATGAATAGCGCGCGGATAGCACAGATCATGGCGTTCAGAAAGTCGCTGCCTCCCATCGTGTCGGTGGCGCATGTACATGTTCTGCTTGACAAACCTACAGAGGTCGAGAGAGAGATTGTACAGCTGATTGACTCGGCTGTCGTACGCAGGCTGCTTGTGACTGGCCGTGGAGACGGGACATACGGGCTAGGCGACTGTCTTGTTCTGCTGGATGACTGGGAAAAACTGGTTAGAGATAGCACTTCTCTAGATGATGTGTTAAAAGGTGAGGGCTAACATTCTTTTGCCTGATATTATTATCTCTACACTATGTCTGACAGATGTATAGATCGCTTCATCGAGGCCCTGCGGAAGGACACTAAATCTCCTGCTGTCCCTGCTGGTTTCTTTTCGCCCGAAGAAACTGCTGCATTGGTGCGTTCAGGCTTCCTGGTGACAGCCTCGTCACATTCCAAAAGCGGCTATATTAATGTAGGCCACTCGACGACTTCAGCGTCGACAGACCATGGTGTCAACTTACCACGTGAAAGAGGGTCAACGATGGTACTCTCTTTACCCAATATGGGCCCATATCTCCGGCTCCTCGGATCCGCACGTACCCAGATTCTAGATACGCTGCGGAAATCTCGATATAGCGAGGCACCCCTTTACCTGATCCGTGACCGGTGGGACGGTTCTATTGAGCTAAACTCCAGAGCCAGCATCGCAAAGCACATCCGCGGTGAGTTTGCAGGCGTCCTACCTGGCCGAACAAACAAATGGAAGCAGCTTTACGGCTTGAACTTCCAGTGGGCACTTGAAGAGGCCCTGGGTGCGGGACTGATTGAGATCTTTAACACCGGAAGCGTAGGGCCGGGAGTACGGAGTGTATGATGACCGCTCTTTCTCCTATATTTATCTATATACCCTCTTCCTGCAGGATAGTGATGGACAAGTATGGCTGCCATACAGTTCTAGTTCGACAGTGATACCCTCGTGCTTTATTTATATACAAAGAATATGCGAAGGCTGTGAGGTAATTAACCAATGATACGATAGCACCTTCTTGAATATATACATAATCCACAACACGTCATTCAACGAAGGCTCTTTCCACTCCTCCATTGTTTGTTTACCTCTATCTCTGCCTCCCGGTGGCTCTTTCTTGCTCTTTCTGCTTTCTGTTATTGTTACCAGCAGGCAATGACTATAAGAAAAACATCCGGCCTGAATGTTTTTCTTCTGTTTCTTCTTCTTCTTCTTTTCCTCCTCGGTCCACGCTCGTTGATAAAAATTGGTATCTATATATTGTTGTTATAGATATTGTATCGATCGTTAAGACTCTCGTTAGGTTGTTCTTGTCATTCTTTTTTTTTCTATCCTTTACATTTCGCCGTGCTCCCAGCTGCTATTCTGCTCTAGGTTTTTTCACCTTTTTTTATAAAATAGCATGGTAAAGGGCATACTTTATAAAACATTCCCACCTCCGCCATCAGATGCCGAAGAAGAACAGAGTCCAGATATACCAGGGCAAGGCGATAGCGCTGAACCATCGCAACAAGACTCGTCTTCTACTGGACAACCACAGCCCAGTGGAGGTTGTGAAGCAATGGAGCATTCATCAGAGCCTCTTGCTCAGACTGGCGTAACAAACCCAGCCCTAGTGGATCCCTCTACGGACGCAACGGGGCGTTCGTCTGAGCCCCGGACTGGCGTTGCAAACCCAGCCCAGGAAGGACTCTCTACAGAAGTAAGGGAGCATTTACCGGAACCCCTTGTCCAGGCTGGAGAAACAAATGCAGCGCTAGCGGATTCTTCTGCAGAAGCAACAGCGCTTTCACCAGAGCCCCAGACTGGCATAACAAGTCCAGCTCCGGCAGAGCCTTCTACAGGGCCAACTCAGTCCACCGCAGAAACCGGGATGCAGACGAACGCTTCACAGGGAGGGCGTCCAAATCGCACCACCGCTGCACCCAGACTTGTGGCTTCGGGGATCGCGGAACCAACTGACGGCCCAGTGCCAGAAACACAATCAGAGGAACCCCGTGGAAGGACACGTCATCGAGGCGAACAACCGAGACGTTTCCCGTCTCCTCCGGTAGAGGACCCAAATGTCGCCGTAGTAGGGAAGCAGGGTGGAATTTTGCCCACTCCTGTTGCTGGTGAAGAACCAGCAGCCCTAAGAGCCATATTACCGAATTATGTGCACCCCAGAGAAATCCACTCCGTTCAGCTTCCACCCTGTGCAGCATTCAGGGAAGCACACAATGTAATAGCACCTGATTTCGAGTCGTTTTTGCAAAAGGTTTTAGACGATGCGTTCGCAGCAATTGCTCGAAGGGTTCCATCTACCGAACCTGATGACATTTATCCTAGGCCACGGCGCTCCCCTGGCTGCAAGGCCAAGTGTTACTTCTCCCACCGCCGTATAATCAGGGACCCTGATCCAGCGTGGGCGAATGAGCTACGTGAACAGCAGGGTGAATTCAGCAGAGACCAGGAAGAGGATTGGTTTGGTAGGAGGTCTGTACATAAGAATAAGAGGACTTGTGGTAATGCGTCTTTTGAAGAAATCAGAGAGTACTGGAAGAACCGGCATACTGCACACCTTCCCGAGTACGTGCCCGGAATTCAAGTGACGAATATACATAGGTACAATTGCGAGGGCGTACAACTAGTCAACTGGAGAGACGTTACTGCTGAAAGTGAGTACAATGCCCAAACTAATGTTATCTGCCTTAATCAACGTTATGCTAATTTAATTCAAGTTTGCTGGATCGAACGCCGCTCAGGCCTTTGTTCTTCGCAGCGTCTTTTCCCTGTTATGGTCATCACTGCTGCAAGAGCTTATAACCCAGCCCTCGAGGGGCGTCCGGACGCTCAGCTGCCAACTTATGAGGAGACCGCTGACCCCCGTCGCCCAAGGCAAACCTATGCGGACGTTCCACCAGAGGGAAGCCCAGGGCATCCCGGAAATGGCAATAATACATCAACTGAACCTACGAGCTCTCGAGTGTCTCAACATGGCTCTGTTGAAGCTGAAAGCTCCAGGAGCTTCCGGACTGCGCCAACCGGCACTGGGAGCTCAAGGGGTGTTCTGTCCACACCGACTGAAGCCAGGAGTTCAAGAGGATTACAGGATACGCCTGCGTCAGCTAGAAATTCGAGAGATGTTAATTCTCCCCAAACTACGCTAGCCGAGGCCGGGAGCTCAAGAGATGTTCTGTCCACACCAACTGAAACCGGGAGTTCAAGGAGATTACTGGGTACACCCGCTTCCGCTGGTAGGTCCAGAAATGCTAATCCTCTCCAGACCACGCCGGCTGAACCTGGGAGCTCAAGAGACGTCCAGGTCGTACCCGATGAAGCTGGCAATTCAGACAACGCCGGTCAGCCTGCGGAAGCAAGGAGACTCAGGGATATGCAACCTCCGGAGGCCAGGCCTGACCCACAGAATCCATCTAGAGGTGTCCCAGAAGGATGGCTGGACTCCCTGTTTGTTGTGCATCTTCCTGTCCGGCATCAATGCATTCCTAGACAACCAAGGGCACATCGTGTCAAGCGGACACTTTTCCCGTTGTATGCCTCGGTTGGGATGGTGAAAGATCTAGGCATGGAGAGGGGAAAGGATCGTGGGACATTCGAGTGGTTGATGACAGTTTCAGCAAAACCACAAAGTAGACTACTTTTTCCACGCTGGCTGACGAACTTGTATATTGGTATGCCACATCTCATCAAGGATGAGCCGGGAGAATTCATGAAGATGCTTACTTGGCGCCGCATCAATCCAAGAATCCCACGGACAAAGTCTTTGATCGGTTGGTAGCTGCCAGAGTGATTACATGCGGAGACTACGGCAATTGCTTTGAAACATCAGAAATTGTTTATGATTTCATCCTTGCAAGCAGAGGCTGGCTTGTTCTGCGGAAAGTATTGGCATCTCTGCTTGTAGTGTTAGGGAGCCCAAGTGTAGAGCAGCCATTCATTTGTTCATATACTCTGGTACAAATTCACACTCGTTCTCTGCTAATCG